GGGTGTATGTGTCTCAGAATTTTATCCATTTCTTTTAGATTTTCTAGTTTATTTGTGTAGGGGTGTTTATAGTATTCTCTGATGGTAGCTTGTATTTCTGTGGGATGAGTGATGATATCCCCTTTATCATTTTTCATTGTGTTTATTTGATTCTTTTCTCTTCTTTATTAGTCTGGCTAGTGGTCTATTTTGTTAATCTTTTCAAAAAGCCAGCTCCTGGACTCACTGATTTTTTGAAGGTTTTTTTTGTATCTCTGTCTCCTTCAGTTCTGCTCTGATCTTAGTTATTTCTTGTCTTCTGCTAGCTTTTGAGTTTGTTTGCTCTTGCTTCTCTAGTTCTTTTAATTGTGATCTTAGGGTATTGATTTTAGATCTTTCCCGTTTTCTCCTGTGGGCAATTTAGTGCTATAAATTTCCCTCTAAACATTGCTTTAGCTGTGTCCCAGGGATTCTGGTACATTGTATCTTTGTTCTCATTGGTTTCAAAGAACTTTTTATTTCTGCTTTAATTTTGTTATTTACCCAGTAGTCATTCAGGAGCAGGTTGTTCAGTTTCCATGTAGTTGTGTAGTTTTGAGTGAGTTTCTTAATCCTGAGTTCTAATTTGATTGCACTGTGGTCTGAGAGACTGTTATAATTTCTGTTCTTTTCCATTTGCCTAGGAGTTTTTACTTCTAATTATGTGGTCGATTTTAGAATAAGTGTGATGTGGTGCTGAGCAGAATGTATATTATGTTGATTTGGGGTGGAAAGTTCTGTAGATGTCTATTAGGTCTGCTTGGTTTAGAGCTAAGTTCAAGCCCTGAATATCCTTGTTAATTTTCTGTCTCATTGATCTGTCTAATATGGACAATGGGGTGTTAAAGTCTCCCACTATTACTGTGTGGGAGTCTAAGTCTCTTTGTAGGTCTCTAAGGACTTGCTTATGAATCTGGGTGTTCCTGTATTGGGTGCATGTATATTTAGGATAGTTACTCTTCTTGTTGCATTGTAATGCTCTTCTTTGTCTTTTTTGATCTTGTTGGTTTAAATGTTTGTTTTATCAGGACTAGGATTGCAACCCCTACTTTTTTTTTTTTTTTTTTTTGCTTTCCATTTGCTTGGTAAATCTTCTTCCATCCTTTTATTTTGAGCTATGTATAGTCTTTGCATGGATGATTGGTCTCCTGAATACAGCACACTGATGGGTCTTGACTCTTTTATCCAATTTTGCCAGTCTGTGTCTTTTAATTGGGGCATTTAGCCTATTTACATTTAAGGTTGATATTATGTGTGAATTTGATCCTGTCATTATGATGCTAGCTCGTTATTTTGCCTGTTAGTTGATGCAGTTTCTTCATAGTGTTGATGGTCTTTACAATTTGGTATGTTTTTGCAGTGGCTGATATTGGTTTTTCCTTTTCATATTTAGTGCTTCCTTCGGGAGCTCTTATAAGGCAGGCCTAGTGGTGACAAAAATCTCTCAGCATTTCCTTGTCTGTAAAGAATTTTATTTCTCCTTCACTTATGAAGCTTAGTTTGGCTGGATACGAAATTCTGGGTTGAAAATTCTTTTCTTTAAGAATGTTGAATATTGGTCCCCACTCTCTTCTGGCTTGTGGGGCTTCTGCTGAGAGATCCACTGTTAGTCTGATGGAGTGCCCTTTGTGGGTAACCCGACCTTTCTCCCTGGATGCCCTTAACATTTTTTCCTTCATTTCAACCTTGGTGAATCTGATGATTATGTGTCTTGGGTTTGCTCTCCTCGAGGAGTATCTTTGTGGTGTTTCCTGTATTTCCTGTATTTGAATGTTGGCCTGTCTTGCTAGACTGGGGAAGTTCTCTTGGATAATATTCTGAAGAGTGTTTTCCAATTTGGTTCCATTCTCCCCATCACTTTCAGGTTCACCAATCAAACGTAGGTTTGGTCTTTTCACATAGTCCATAATTCTTGGAGGCTTTGTTCATTTCTTTTCATTCTTTTTTCTCTCATCTTGTGTTCACGCTTTATTTCATTAAGTTGATCTTCAGTCTCTGATATTCTTTCTTCCACTTGATCGATTTGGCTATTGATACTTGTGCTTGCTTCACAAAGTTCTCATGCTGTGTTATTCAGATCCATCAGGTCATTTATGTCCTTCTCTAAACTGGTTTTTCTGGTTAGCAATTCCTCTAACTTTTTTCCAAGGTTCTTAGCTTCCTTGCATTGGGTTAGAACATGCTCCTTCAGCTTAGAGGAGTTTGTTATTACCCATCTTCTGAAGCCTACTTCTGTCAATTTGTCAAACTCGTTCTCCATCCAATTTTGTTCCCTTGGTGGCGAGGAGTTGTGATCCTTTGGAGGAGAAGAGGTGTTCTGGTTTTTGGAATTTTCAGCCTTTTTGCACTGGTTTTTCCTCATCTTCATGGATTTATCTACTTTGTTCTTTGATGTTGGTGACCTTCGGACAAAGTTTCTATGTGGACGTCCTTTGTTTTTTTCTTTTCTTTTTTTTTTTTTATCTTGATGCTATTCATTGCTGTTTGTTAGTTTTCTTTCTAACAGTCAGGCCCCTCTGATGCAGGTCTGTTGGAGTTTGATGGAGGTACACTTCAGACCCTGTTTGCCTGGGTATCAGCAGCAGAGGCTGCAGAACAGCAAAGATTACTGCCTGTTCCTTCCTCTGAAAACTTCATCCCAGTGGGGCACCTGCCAGATGCCAGCCAGAGCTCTCTTTTATGAGGTGTCTGTCAGCCACTGCTGGGGGGTGTCTCCCAGTAAGAGGGTACGGGGGTCAGGGACCCACTTGAGGAGGCAGTCTGTCCCTTAGCAGAGCTCGAGCACTGTGCTGGGAGATCCACTGCTTTCTTCAGAGTCAGCAGGCAGGAATGTTTAAGTCTGCTGAAGCTGAGCCCACAGCCGCCCCTTCCCCTAGGCACTCTGCCCCAGGGAGATGGGAGTTTTATCTATAAGCCCCTGACTGGGTCTGCTGCCATTCTTTCAGAGATGCTCTGCCCAGAAGGAGGAATCTAGAGAGGCAGTCTGGCTATGGTGGCTTTGTGGCACTGCAGTGGGCTCTGCCCAGTCCGAACTTCCCAGCGGCTTTGTTTATACTGTGAGGAGAAAACTGCCTACTGAAGCCTCAGTAATGGTGGACACCCCTCCCCACACCAAGCTCAAGTGTTCCAGGTTGACTTCAGACTGCTGTGCTGGCAGTGAGAATTTCAAGCCAGTGGATCATAGCTTGCTGGGCTCTGTAGGGGTGGGATCCCCTGAGCTAGACCACTTGGCTCCCTGGCTTCAGCCCCCTTCCTGGGAGAGTGAATGGTTCTGTCTCGCTAGTGTTCCAGGTGCCACTGAGGTATGAAAAAATCCTCCTGCAGCTAGTTAGGTGTCTGCCCAAATGGCCACCCAGTTTTGTGCTTGAAACCCAGGGTCCTGGTATTATAGGCACCCGAGGGAATCTCGTGGTCTGCAGGTTGCAAAGACCATGGGAAAAGCATAGTATCTGAGCTGGAATGCACCATTCCTCACGGCACAGTCCCTGAGGGCTTCCCTTGGCTAGGGGAGGGAGTTCCCCGACCCCTTGCACTTCCCGGGTGAGGCGACGCCCTACCCTGCTTCTGGTTGCCCTCTGTGGGCTGTCACCTACTGTTTAACCAGTCCTAGTGAGATGAGCGGGGTACCTCAGTTGGAAATGCAGAAATCATCTGCCTTCTGCATTGATCTCGCTGGGAGCTGCAGACTGGAGCTGTTCTTATTTGGCCATCTTGCCAGTCACCACTGTTAGAGAATATCTTACTGGAATGATGGTGTTTGAGTAAAGACCTGGAGAGAGAGAGAGTGAGCCATGTGGTTACCTGGGGGGAAAGAGTGTCTAGCAAGTGCAAAGGCCCTGTGGTAAAATCATGTCTGGCTTGTGCAGGAACAGCAGAGAGGCCAGTGTGGCTATAGTGGAGTGATCAATGGGAAGATGGGGGAGCGGAAGTAAGAGAGGTTATGCAAGGTTGTGTAGGGCTTTGGAGGTCTTCTTCGGGACTTTGGCTTGTTGCTTTGCTCTTCTTACTCATGACTTGCACCTTGCAGTCTAAGACGGTTGCCCTAGCTCCTGGCATTCTATCCAGCAGCAAAGGAGAAGAAGAGAGGGTGGGTATGAGCCTTTCCTTCAAGGCACAAGCTGGAAGTTGAATCCGTCATTGCCTCTCCCATCACCTCAAAAGGAATTAGTCACACAGTCATGCCTAGCTGCAAGGAGGCTTGGCAGTTTGTCTCATTATTGGGGACCAAGAGTACAGATAAAAATCAGAGATTCTAGTATTTATGAAAGAAAGGGAGAGGGATCTTGAAAGACAGTAACAGCATCTGCCAACAAACCTGTTCTTTGAAAAAAAAAAAACCTTGAAATTAGAAATCTGATTATCCTTTAATAATGGAATCAGCTTTCAGTGAAAGGAAGCCACAATGCCAATCTTTTAGCTATGAAAGTACTTTAGTTTTGGGAAACGTGCTGAAAATCTTTTCTTGTTCCATTGTGGAAGCTCTGTTTATGATCCAATGAACTAAACAAAAAGCCTTATTGGACTGACCCATGAACCAAAGAGAAAAATCCAGATAGAATTAAGTTTAATCATTTCTTTACTCTATCATAAGTAATAATTTTCTTTTATAATATATCTATTTCTATGTAATGTAAAATAGGCGAGTTTTTTTGTTAAGCTGTTTTATGATAGTCTGTCTTTACCCATCTGAGGAATTTGTATAGATATCAAGTTTCGTGAGGCATGTCTGACTCTGATAATGATAAAAAGGCATAAAACAAGGCTAATGCAGAAAACAGTTATAGTCATAAATTGATCTTATTGTCAATCACACCAGAAATAAATAAATGAAGAATGAACTCACTAGGCTTTTATACTCTGGCCATTCAGAGAAAAGTCCTTTTATTCTCTAACACTGTACAAATCATAGTTTAATTTCTGGTGTTTGAGACAGAGATCATCTACAGTGGTTCGAAAAAAAAGTGTTTTTGACATCTCCAAACCAAACCACCCCTTGGAGTCATGTATTTTTTGATAGTTAAGATTGAATGAATGAATGAATCCTGAGAGGTTGCCTTTTTCTACACATTAGAAACTCAGAGTTAGAAAGAAGCATAAGGATTGGGTGGTCAGTTCTCAATCCTTCTAGAGCGTCTAGTCTAGCTTGAACACCTTGAATGATGAAGGACTCATCTTCCACAACAATCTGTTCCTTTGTCTTTTAGCACAGATGATTAGAACTTTCTTGTTTTGTTAAGCCAATTTCTGTTTTCCTTCAATAGATCCAAGTTGTCCTCAGTATGACCAATACAAGGTAAGTTTTGTTACTCTTTCTCATGACAACTTTTCTCCTGAGAAAGGGAAAGGAGACCCAGAGTTTGCCCTTGAAAAATCCATGTTGTGCCACAGTGATCAGAGGGTTCCAAGACTGAGAGCTTCCTAGTTGGGCAACAGATCAACACTACTGGATCAGTTCTGAAAATGAACCAGGGAAAGTTGGTGGCTTAGAATTTTATCTGCTTGCTCTCTGTGTTTGCGCAAATCACCTAATAATAACTGCTAATCATTGCTACTGATTAAAACATAGAGTATTTAGTATGATAGAAAACGTGTTCAGCTATTTGCTTTTACACTGTTGGTGGGAGTGTAAATTAGTTCAACCATTGTGGAAGACAGTGTGGCAATTCCTCAAGGATCTAGAACTAGAATTACCATTTGATCCAGCAATCCCATTACTGGGTATATACCCAAAGGATTATAAATCATACTACAATAATGTCACATGCACGTGTATGTTTATTATGACACTATTCACAGTAGTAAAGACTTGGAACCAACCCAAATGTCCACCAATGATAGACTGGATTAAGAAAATGTGGCACATATACACAATGGAATACTATGCAGCCATGAAAAAGGATGAGTTGATGTCCTTTGCAGGGACATGGATGAAGCTGGAAACCATCATTCTCAGCAAACTATCACAAGGACAGAAAACCAAACACCACATGTTCTCACTCATAGGTGGGAATTGAACAATGAGATCACTTGGACACAGGGCAGGAAATATCACACACCAGGGCCTGCTGGCGGCTGGGGGGCTGGGGGAGGGAATAGCATTAGGAGAAATACTTAAAGTAAATGATGAGTTGATGGGTGCGGCAAACCAACATGGCACATATATACCTATGTATCAAACCTACACGTTGTGCACATGCACCCTAGAACTTAAAGTATAATAATAACAATGAAAAAGAAAATGTGTTCAACTATTTACATATTCTTATTCTCCTATAATGCTAATGGTAGTTACTACCGTTATCCTCATTTTACAGATGAAACTAAAGTTCAGAGAAATAATAGCCTACCCAAACATGACCCCATTCTTGTGAATTATATCTGTGCTTTTGATCCCCTATACTGAGGCCACCCTACCTCAGCTAACTCATGAGACAATGAGTAAGCCTTATAAACAAGGCTGCCCAAGGTGAGATGGCCGGTGTGGATTCTGGAAATCCAACAGCACAAAGCCAAGGATGGGGCTGTGGTGACCCATCAGTAGGAGGCAGGGGAAAGCCAAGCAGGAGGGCAGCAAAGGCTGTGAGGTCAAGATGTGGCTAACGGTGAGTCCCCCAAGAGGTTAGTAACTGGGGATGTTGTGAAAATTTGGCAACAGGCAAAAGACAGAGGGTAAGACTTAAGGGGTGTTCTTGAGAGGTCATACGTGCTGCAGAGATTATAATACGCCAGTCATGTCAATTTAAAATCAAGAGAAAACATCAAAAATAAGTTTAAAAAAGTTCAATGAAGTTCTTCTTTCTCCATGCCTAGAAATACTCAGCAGAACATCTGACAGCTAATGGATATTCAGCAGAGATGAAGTGCATTTACTGACTTGCAGGAACCCCAGAACAAACAGGTGAGGGTAGGGGAACATTGCCAGAGGAAACAAGATATGACAAGAATTTAGGACTGTAAGCCACCCTAATGGGGTGTTGAAATGGCCTGTGTTTGCTGAGATTTTGGAGGATGGAGGGAGCTGGTTTGGGCACAGAGTCCAGCTGTCAGATTGAATTTACAGAGTCGAGTGACTTTCTCATAGGATTGTGGAAGGCGTAAACATCCTCAGAGATAAGCAGACCTTTGGGTGTTGATCCAGATGGCTCTGAGGTTAGTCAGAAGAAGATATGCCTTCAGCCATTTTAAGATGACAGATTATAAGGCACTCCTTGATTTAATAGCAGCCTTTTAGGAAAGAAAGAAATACTATAATCAATGATCATGTTCATTTTTAAGTACTTCAAGAATTCAGAAATGTTGAAATTGAAAAGAAAAAAAGTATAGTAGATATTGTAGTAAATAGAATTTTAACCCAGCTCCATAGTGAATGATTAAGACGAGAACTTTAAAAACAAAAGTGGGGCGAGGAGAAGCCCATTTATTGAATATTGTGGAAAAAATAAGCAGCTGGCACCAACTCACCCCTTTCATTGTTCCACTTCCGTCTCCAGCCAGGACATTCTTCTTTCTGGGGCAGATGTCTGATGGACAAGGTGGTAGAATTGAGCACTGAGCTTCACAGCCTTGGGTCCTGGGTTGGGTCTTCAGACATATCACCTGAGCCAGATGGATGTGGTCAAGTTTAGAGGTCTTACGGAGAAGAACAGCACCCCCCGCCCCAGGTTCTGAGCTCTATTCAGAAGTGGGGTTATCTCCTCAGCCCTACTCAGGAAATTGGAGGGTATAGTCACTGCAGGCTCAGTCACTTTAGGTGCTTATGATGACAAAACTGGGCTAATGCTAGCAAGGTATCTGGATTTTCAACCCATTGTAGCAACTCTGAAGCTCTCCCAAAAGCTTGTAGCTCACTGAGTAGAAGTCAATGACACAAATTCTCCATTTCTGAGGGTTCCAAAGAGGAGAGGCAGAGAAAGTGACATGAAGACAGGAGACTAAAATGAAAAAGTCAAGCTTTCCCAAGAGGGCATGGCCATTACCACCACTTCCATTTTATCGTGAACCTAAAATAAACATTCTAATCAAATGGAAAAAATGTGTCAGTGGAAATACCACTCTTTGGCACTATCCTGTTGCTAAGGTTACTTCAGAGATAGAAAAATTTCAGGCAAATTAGTGGTATGTGTCCCTGAGGACCATAAACTACAAACAGAAAACTTAACCATTAGGATAGTACTGTGTTACATTGTCATTTTACAGAGTTTAATTTTCTTAATAATCAATGGCATAAATCTCAATTATCTTAAAATTAGTGTTTGAGTGGGCAGGAAACATATCTCTTTGCAAGAAAATGTTGGTGCAATGCTTGCTAACATGAAGGAGGGTTTCAAGCTCTTCTGTGTCACTCCAAGTTACCTTCCTTTCAGAGATGTAAATGCTGAGTGGATTTTATTAAACCTTATCGGCTGGGTGCGGTGGCTCACGCCTGTAATCCCAGCACTTTGGGAGGCTGAGGTGGGTGGATCACCTGAGGTCAGGAGCTCAAGACAAGCCTGGCCAACATGGCGAAACCCTGTCTCTACTAAAAATACAAAGCTTAGCTGGGTGTGGTGGTGGGCGCTTGTAATCCCAGCTACTTGGGAGGCTGAGGCAGGAGAATTGCTTGAACCTGGGAGGCAGCGGTTGCAGTGAGCCCAGATCACTCCACTGCACTCCAGCCTGGCTGACAAGAGCGAAACTCTGTCTCAAAAAGCAAACAAACAAACAAACAAACAAAACTTATTAAAGGCCAGGCATGATGGCTGATGCCTGTAATCCCAGCATTTAGGGAGGCCAAGGGGGGGGAGGTGGATGACCTGAGGTCAGGAGTTCAAAACCAGCCTGACTAACATGGTGAAACCCGATCACTGCTAATTACAAAAAATTAGCCAGGCCTGGTGGTGGGCTCTTGTAATCCCAGCTACTTGGAGGCTGAGACTGAGGTGGGAGAATGGCTTGAACCCGGGAGGTGGAGGTTGCAGTGAGCCAAGATTGCGCCACTGCATTCCAGCCTGCATGACACTCCATCTCAAACAAACACAAAAAACAAAACCAATTAATCTTATTAAAATAGGGAAACTAAACTTAAGCTCATGTCATGGTTGAGACACTAGACATGGGTGAGGGGCGCCTGGTCACTTTTTTAATGTGGAGGAGCCAGAGATTTGTTTGATGAAGTTGAGCATTCTAGTTTATTTTTAGTATTTTGAGAAGCATTCTTATCAAAAGGGTCTCCATGTATCTGCAGCAAAGTTTTTCTCAAAACCAGGATGATGAGGTTAAGACATGGGATTATCGAGAGTGTTCTTTGAGGTCCTGGCATTGTAGTGGCCACAAAAGAATGAGAAAAATGGGTCAGACGCAATGGCTCATGCCTGTAATCCCAGCACTTTGGGAGGCCAAGGTGGGTGGATCATGAGGTCAGGAGTTTGAGACCAGCCTGACCAATGTAGTGAAACCCTGTCTCTACTAAAAATACAAAATATTAGCTGGGCGTGGTGGCAGGTGCCTGTAATCCCAGCTACTCAGGAGGCTGAGGCAGGATAATTGCTTGAACCCAGGAGGCAGCAGTTGCAGTGAGCCAAGATCATGCCACTGTACTCCAACCCAGGCGACAGTGCAAGATTCCGTCTCAAAAAAAAAAAAAAGAGCAAGACTTTCAGCATCAATCCAATAACTTTCTGGAACTTTGAACTTTTTAATTAAGAGGGAGAAATAAAGGAGAAAAGGGGACAGAAGGGAGAAGAGAGAATGGAAAGAACACAGACGATATGCAGAAGTTGAGTTCAGATAAAGAACAGTTATTAGGTCTTCCTACTTTTACCTTAGGAGCAAAATTGACGAAACCACAAAATCTCTCTTGTTCTTTTTGAAAATGCTATCAGATGTCTGTTTTTGCCGATCAACATCACAAGCATCTTGTATTTCACAAGGTCCCTAAAAGTCTTCCTTAATTCAAGGTAAGATGTGAGACACACAGAAGGTATTCTCCACAGGGATTCAAAAAACCTGTGTACTCATTCAAAACACAATGAGCTGAGGCAGAACATCATCCTACAATATCAATTATCCTCACTGAATAGCATTTCTGCCCCCTTTTTGTATGTCTCTTTGGAATAGAATGTACGTTGCCCTTATTAATCCTATGGAATTACTTTTTTCCTGATCCTTAGAAAATCTAGCAAATGCAGACAGTTTCAGCGAGTTAACAAAAAAAAAAAAAAAAAAAAATCTAATTTCCACTTGAGCAGCTCTGAGGTTAGGTCAGCAGAAAAAAAAAAAAAAACTGCAGTAGCTTGTGTTGATGAATATTTTATAAGCTCTACCATCTAATAAAAGATGTATTTAAAAATGGACAGGATGCTGGTTAAGAAAATGTACTATTATTTAATCATCATGTAGATGAAAGTTGAGTTTCAGGTATAATGAAAGAATGAAACAGCCCACAGACAAGCTCAATTTCGGGTCTTTGGACGCTTTTTGTTCTGTTCACCACAGATCTTCTATCATGGCTCCAACTGCTGACTTATACAATCAATGAGGCAACAGGGTGATTACAGAGCTTGACCCATGTGGAGATTATTTAGTAGCCTCAATGGACAAGAGAAATCTTTTAAAAGCTTCTAATTAGCACACCCAGTCAATGAAATTGCAAACCTCATTATTTGAGTCAGGGCCAGGAAAGTATAGGCCCACAGGACCCCCAGATGACATGTTAGCAGTATGTGGAGCTTATTACCCACAGAGTTCAGAATTACACTCAGCGTGATCTATAATACAAATAATAACGATGCTGATGATGACAACAGCAACCTTCTGCAGAGCGGCAATCATTTATTGTGCACTTACTATGTGCCAGGCATGGTGCTAAGTGCTCTACATGCATCATTCTTGTCCTCACAATAACTCCATGAGATAGGTACTAGTGTCATGTATATAGCTAAGGAAAATGAAGCTCAAAAGTCTCATGGCTAGCAAGTGATTGAGTTGACTCCAAGACTATCTGACTTCAAGGCCAACAGGCTTTTCTTGAAGAGAGGCCCACAACCCCACTCCATGTCTCTTTCTAGTAAAACCATAGTTTTTTGATGTGTCTTGTGGAAAGAAGAGAAATGCTCATAAAAGAAATTAACATACTAATTTGGCCATCAACTCATATGCCTCATACCTCTAAGAGATGCCATACACAGATCTTTCTAGTTAGCTCTATAGGAGGAGTGGTAGAAAGAATATTGGGGTAGAAGTTAGGTGTCTGGAGTCTTAGCCCTAGCTCCATCCCTAACAAATTGTGTGACTTCATCAAATCACTTTACTTCTCTCAATCTTAGTGACTTATTCTTGAAAGTGATGATTGTAATATTTGCGCTCTCTCCTTGCAGGGTTTTGCTGAAGAACAAGTGTGATAATGTACCTGAAAGCTCTTGGAGGAGCTTCAAGTGTTATGTAAATGAAAGGTGGTAATTAAAAACCTCTAGAGAAGGGCAGCCTATCTCAGTCATCAATTATCATGTTTTCTTCCTTGTCAGGAAACCTATATTTTTCGTGCTTCTTGGGGGTACAGATAGCTCTGTACAAAATTTTTGTCTGGGAAATGTGTGAGAAAAGGATCATCCTGACAGTTGAAAGCCTATTTAGGATAAGAAATAACCACATCTAAATTGATGGAACCAAAGGCAGATGCATTCTTATGTGAAATTGTGGAAATTCATACCTCCATTTACTGGTTTTTATATCTAGTTATAAGAAGATGGAATATTTAACTGGCATAACACATACAAAGCCCAACTCTTGAAATAAGAAAGTGGTATAGAAATTGGCTTGTTACCTAGAAAAACAGAAAAAGACTGGGGGAAAGACAATGAAAAACTATGAACACCACACTGCTTGGTATGTTCTTAAACTTTGGGAACTTGGGTGTAGGGA